AATGGTTTAAAAAACATTCGATTCCTATTGATAGGGAGATGTGCTGATTAGTTTTTGGCAAAGGTAGGTCCAGCCGTTACGGAGATATGGAGCAAGAGTGCAAAAATAGAAAGCGAATTTTGAGAGAACGGATCAACCGATTTGAATGGTTTAAAAAACATTCGATTCCTATTGATAGGGAGATGTGCTGATTATTTTTTGGCAAAGGTAGGCCCAGAGGTTCGGAGTTACAGAGCTAAATTTAAAAAAAATGCTGTTTTTGAGAGAACTGAGCGTCCGATTTAAATGATTCAAAGAACTTTCTGCTTTTTCAACAAAACAATTGATTTTGGAAAAAAAAATTTTTGTTTCTAATTTTTTTCAAAAATTTTTTTTGTAATTTTGGACTAAAAATTCAAAAATCACCCAAGCTAAGCACAGTCTAAGCGCCACTCTGGTAGAAATGTTTACGCAAGTGCGTTTAGACTGTTTGTGTACTGGAGCACTTTTCCAATTTTGTGAAAATTATTGAAAAATGTGAAAATGCCGCCAAACTGAGCACAGTATAAGTGAAAATGTCGCACAGAATTATTTGCAAATGCGTTTAGACTGTGACTATGCGGGAGCACTTTTTCAATTTTGTGTAAATTTGGCAACTATTTTTTTTTTTGAATTTGATTCGAAATGAAATGACGATTGTTAATGTTCTGGAGATCATAAATTGATTTATTTATAATTAACTTTCCATAGGGTAAGTAATCGCAAAAAAATCGAAAATGAAAATTTTTATATATCTTCACGTTTCAGAGGTTTCGAATATGTTGGCATACCTTGGAGAAAATTGATGTATGTGTGTGTGTATGTGTGTGTGTGCGTGCATGTGTTGTGTTCGGATACAAATTTTCGTCGACGATTTCGGGAACACGGATAAAGCAATTTGAATAATTCAAAAAACATTCTAGCCGTTCCGAAGATATGGGGCAAAAAGGGTCAAAAACGGTAACTTAGTTTTTAAGAGAACGGAGCGTTCGATTTGTATAGTTCAAAAAACATTTTACTTGTATTAACAAGATGAAGATTTGATCAAATTTTCATGAAGATAGGACTAGCGGTTTCGGAGATCTAGTAAAAAAAACTAAAAAAAAATAACATTTGGCGGTCAACAATAATCATTAGACATTAGACATATGCATATCAAATTATCAGATATTTTATTGAGATTTTTACAATAAGTATAAGTTTTGTTTACATTCCTATGGGTTCCGTACCATTGTTTTTCTGTTAGACAGCGACGCGGCGCTTACGCGCTTTATATTTTGTCTCTATGCAGTTAAAGCAGTACGATTGCTTTGAAAAAAAGTTCAGATCTTCCAAATATATCAAAATGAAGATAACATTTTTTCCAAAAAAAAATTTTTATAAAAAAAATTGTTTAAAATTTTTTTTTTTTTAAAAAAAAATTTTATTTTCAAAAAAAGTAATTTTTTGTCCAATTTAAAATTTCTAAAAAATCTTATTTTTTCGAAGTAAAATTTTTTCAAAAATGTTAATCGTTTTTAAAAAAATAATAATTTTTGGTACGGGAAGTTGCAGCAATTTGCCTCAAGGCACGATGCCTTAATTGCCTTAAGACAGAATTCCACTTACAGCTAGTTTAATTCTATATTTTACAAAACAATGCAAGTAGTACCTTATGTCTAAGCATCTTTTAAAAGTGTGTCAAATTTTACCACATCCTTATTGTACAATTAATTTACATTATTTATATTTTTGTTATATGCATAAATTACAAATTTTATTATGCACTCATCAGATTTACTCGTCCTTTAAAAACTATTAAAAAATATGGTAATACAGCAAGTAATTTTTCAGAATAAAAATTTCTTATTATTAGTTATTTTTTATTTATAAAGATTTAATTAAATAAAAAAGTACTTTTATTATAGTCTCTATAAATCACATCACTAAAAAAATATCTATTATTGAATCAAATCAATACAAAGGCAATTTTACAGGTCAAATTCGTAGCATTTTACAATTGGTCGTGAGCTTTCCGCGTGTAGGTGCCAATGCAATAACAAACATTGCATAGTATATTAGACATACTGTTGCATACTAAATGTATTTACAAACGGCTATACATACCGTTTTTAAAGATAGACTCATTATAATAGACTTTTAGGTCATCATAACTTAGAGACAAACTTGCATGAGTATATGGATTTTGAGAAAAATGTGTAGTCTTGAAAACTAGTCCGCTCAACTTCTGCATTTTATGTTTGGATAAGATTTTGCGATTTATATTATATAAGTATTACTATTTTTGCAATAAGTGCTTTTTTTCTAATTCTAGTCGTCGCATATTAATAATATATGTAATAACAACATTATCTAAAAACTGCAAATCACGCCTCCCAGACTATTAATTTTTTTTCATTGAATCATCAATCTTTTGCATTTTACCTAATTCCACGCATTTTAAGCATTTTATTTTTGAAGTAAAACTTCTTTAGGCGCGACTAGGGTGTAAATCCGTACGAATGCAACGGAAGTGCGTTACGCCAGATAAGAGTCGATAAGATAAGAGTCGAGTGCCAATGATTCGTCATTCGCTCTCGATGATAACCTTTATATACAGGTCGAGTGTGATTCAAAGTATAACTTTAATTACATTATTGCTTTTGAAAATTACACATATTTTTAATGCTATTATAAATATATAATTTATAATTTATCATTATATAAATGTGTGTAATGGTTGACAGTAATAAATATGTGCATCACGAGTGTTGCCATATTACTAATAAAGATTATTCAAAATTGTTATATGATGTATTTATTTTTACTTAAATGCCATCTTGTACAGTAGCAAATAAGTTTTACTTCAATCGCGTGTGAACCTTACGCGCACTCTTTTTTAGTTTACAATAATATTCTATTCAATATTTTCTTTTACTATGTTTTATTGTTTACACCTTTGCCAGGGTAAATTTTCAGTTGGAGCTTTTTACCCCACCCACGTGTAAGCTAAAACTGTTGAATTGATTTATCTATCAATTAACAATAAATCTTAAACATTTAAATTACGTATACTTCAAAATTATATTAAGGACTCGTAAACTAAACAACAGTGCTCACAACCAAAAAAACTTTTGTTATGGATTTTCAAACATTGCCGTTTATCTTCCGATAGCGATGACGTAAGAATCAAGGTAATATTAGTTCATTATATCATTTTCCCTCTACTTTCAAATATTGGTCTTAAAAAATTATTAACTTCACTGGTATTTGAAATATCGATGGTGGACCTTTTTACCCGCGGACCTTTAAGCTCCGCTCTACCCTATTCTAGTTTGTTCAATTTAGTTTTCGTATAAAAATAGAAGAAAACATAAACCCAAAAATTCTCAAAATAATCTATCAATAATATAGTTAGATTTGTGCTATTTACTTCTGACTACGCGTCCTGTTTCTCTTCTATTCATTTATTTACCACGCCTACTCGAATAAATTTTATATTCAAATTTTGAATTTTATTTTTAAAATATCAGTTCTCATTCACACGATATTCCCATTCACAGATCGTAGGTCGATAATAAAATTTGTATATTTTATGACTAATGGCATCAATCAAAGCGCATAATTCTGCATCACTGTTGAATGTTATTTGATATATGTAAGTGAAATTGTTGAAATTATTGTTTCGAAAGTTATAACTAGAAAAGTCTAATTCCATCTATTCGAACTTCAAACAATCAATATTGCAAGACAATTTGCTATGTGCACTAGAAATGAATTATAGAAAATTGAGACGTTTTGCGGACAGGTCGAAATTGATATTGGAAATATACGTATATGGGGCATCGTATACTACGTAGAACATATAACGCAAAAAGGGTCATAACTACAAAAGTTGAAAAGAATGATTCAATTACTTATTTTCATGATATTCAATACATTTTCAAAGTGTATAGTATGTTAACTTTAATAATGACCAATGATTATTTCGG